GGAGGTTTAGGTTGGATATTAGGAAAAATTTCTTCACGTAAGGGTAGTCAAGCATTGGAAGAGGCCCCAGAGAGGTAGTGGAGTCACCATCCCTGGAAGTGTTCAAAAAACATGTAGATGTGGCACTTTGGGACATGGTTTAGTCTAGTCTACCCTTGATTGGTTTAGAGTGGACTTGGTAGTGTAGGTTAATGGTTGGACTGGATGATCTTAAAGGTCTTTTCCAACCTAAATGATTCTATGATACTATGATTCTATTCTCTGCTGCTTCCACTGTCCTGAGTAGCCTTGTCTGTCTGGAGGGAAAGGGGGAAAAATGCATCCTTTTGCAATGTTAATGTTTACGTTGATTCACATCTCTGTTCTCCATTTAGCAGTTGGAACACCTTTGATACACACCTGGATAGTTTAAGACTTCGTTTAGTTTCCTCTAATAGCAGTTTAGTTCACTCCCTCCAAACTGCTTTGCAAACCAGACAAATGTGATGTGGGGATGGCTGGGGCTTAGTTCTGATTCACGGGCCAAACCAAAATGCTGATGTTTACACAGCCTGAATTTTTAGTTTTCCTGCTGGTGCTTTCTTGTTTGATGTAGCGAATTTTTGACATTTTATTTAGCATTTCTCATGTTTGGGAATGGATTGTTGCTGGATTCTGCTCACAGTTTCAAGGTAAAGCTATAGGTCCCTGCTGCTGTTGTTCCTGAAAGGAAGCTTTATTTGTACTTTGTACTTCAGTCACCTCTGCTACTTGCCATTTACCTTTCCTGTTCTGAGAGATGAGACATGGAGAAGCTTTCAGTCTACTTTTGTTTCAGTCACAGAAATGGCATAATGCTGATTCTAAAAGATGCCTGTATCAATTCTAAAGAGCTGTAACAATCGCATTCATTAATCACAATATATTTTGACTACCTTTATGCACTTTTTGGAAATACTACAGAATGTTTGCACTGTGTGGTTGACATGCCTGTTCTACAATTGTCCCAAAAATGCTGTAAAGTCCTATTCTGATATCTCATGAGTGTTAGGTTGAAAGTCTACCATTCTGTTGATATCTGTCCCAAGAGAATATTCCAACATCTCTAGACAGAATAAGCTAATAGTTAATAATTGTATAAAAGGTAAGAGTTCCTTGAGACTTAACCATCATGTAAAGAGCAGTTCCTGCTATTTGGTTTTTTCATAAAGATTTGTTCTTCTATTATGGTTCATCAAGATATTTTGAGAAACAATCAGCTTAGCAGAAAAACCTGAGAAATTCAGGTCATACTCCACAAGACCTTTGAAGGCTTATGTTGAATACCTCTAATTTAAGTATTTTAAGACAGTTCTCAGCACAGTGGTTCTAGAAAAATGGCAGGAAGCTTCCCAGTCCTCTATTTTATGTAAAAAAGCTCCTCATCAGTGATGCAGTGCTAAAATCTGAGGTTGCTCTTGTCGATCTCAGGGTGTTTCCTGAACAGAGAAAACAGGCACTTTCCCCTGGCCTTATTTGAACTACTTAAGCCTCACTCCACACTTCCTGTAAGCATTGTAGGATTAATACCCAGCCCTCAGCAGTTAGAAGTGACATACTTCTTAAGTTTGTTGTTTGCTAATCATTCCATACCATTAGGTGGTTCCAAGTTTTTATGTTGGCATGGAAAATCAAAGCATTTTTTTCTTTGCCATCTCTGTCTTCTCTTGTCAGCCCAAAGACATTGTGCTGGAACGGGAATACAAAAGTTAAATATGAGTAGATATAAGCAAGGGCTCTATGTACAAAAGATCTGATTCACAGCTGATACTCCAGTGTTGATTGCACTTCTGTTTACTTGGTGGTTAGGAAAATGCTTGAAAACTCGCCTGACTATACTGTATAATGCAGCTATCCATCTACAAAGTAGACATCACAGACTTTTCAGGTAGTTCTCCCATCTGCCACTAGGGGAAACTACTTCCAGACAACTGGAGAGGTAAGGAAAAATTAAGAAAATTGAAGAAAATGGCCTCAAGAAGACATTTCACATCTTAACACACAAACTCAAAGCAGACTTGAGGTTTAGTCTTGCTGGGTTAAAAGGGAAGGGATCTGTGGTATGTTTTTTTTACCTTGTTCTGAAAGAAGGGAGGCACATGAGGTAAAAAAAGAAAATGAACCTGTTTTGTGGTTTTGTTCTCCTTTCTACAAGAGGAAATGAAAGGAATGGTGTTGGGTTGATGATTGGACTGATGATCTAGAGGTCCTTTCCAATCTTAATGACTCCTAGTTTTTACTTTCATTAAAAAATAACCCAGCCACCAAGCCAGGAAACATGAAATTACTACTCTACCCTTAATTGATTTAGTGGTAGACTTGGTAATGTTAGGTTAATGGTTGGACTGGATGACCTTAAAGGTCTTTTCCAACCTAAATGATTCTATGATTCTATGAATAGAAAGAAAAGGGTTTCCCTTCCAGAATAAATCCATTAAAGGGAAAAATAGAGTTTGAATAGTCTTTAGTCAGAATGCTAAGATGCCAGAGAGCATATATAAAAAAGTATAAATGTCAAGGATCTTTTTAAAACAAAAATTGACATCATACCTTCTGTCCAGAGGAAGAATTATTTAATATAGCTACTTAATTCTTCACAATAGAATTGACTTCCACTATCTCAGTTAATGAGTTCAAATGTACAATTTACAAAGAAGTTTGATATTGCATGTGCCTTTGACTAGGTTTCCTTTTACCAGGTGATTGCTTTGAAGAAAATACAGTTCTGTAAGCTGTGACTTCACATACAGTACTAGATTTTTCTGTAAATCCTCCCAAAAAAACTTCAGATATCTTGGTTTTGGCTGTGAACTCCATAGGCTGTTCAGATTGTTACAGGTGAAACAAAAAAATAATTTTCTTAATGTTTTCTTTTTTTACCCTGAACTCCTTACAGCCGTCTGTATGTATCCTTTTCTTTGGGTCGTAGTCTTTAAGTTGTCTTACCTGAAGTTTTGCATTTGTTTAACGTACAGTTGAATTGAGAGAGAGGTGGTGGTGGTCATAGAGCACAAATGCAAGTGCTCAGGGTAGAGAGTATTGAATTGCACTAGGCAACATTACCTCACATTATAACTTGTACTTTTCGGAAAAATTATTAATTTTGATGGGTCATGATATACTTTCAGTATAAGTAAAAGATTTTTCCTTTCTGATGTTTATTAGTTTTGCAGTTTATATGCTGTAAAATGAGTCATTTTCTACTTAATAGATATTTTAGGTCTATGAAATGAAACCCTTCAAAAGTCATTCTGACAGGATTGGCAGATATGGGGATAGGGCTCAGCTGCTATGGGCTTCTAAACTTGATGACAGCCTTAAAATAAATAATCAAGTACTGTCTGGAAGGATAGTTGAATGTCAGTTAAGTTGGTTGTCAGAATAAGACTGTTTTATCACTGGCTGCTGCAGCACAAAATTATGTTATTTCTTGTGCTTCAAACTTTGCCCTTCTTATTCTGGGGTCCTCATCACATGGACTGACAAACCATAGGTAACATTTAGGTAGTATACAGATACTTTTTTGTGGGTCTTCATAGTGTATTCTGTTTTTTTGTTTAGGAAGTCTTATACTAGCAATAACAGATTCTCATCCACACTTTTTAGATAGGCATTTGCACACACCAGAACTGTATTTTCTCTGGCCTGGATTATTTTGTGGTATTTAAAACTTTTTAGTTAAAAAAACCCAAAAAACCCACCCTAAACCAGAAGCAACCCAAACACAGAAAATGATCTTTGTTTTGTGTCAGTTTAGAAGTGATTGAATGTGTTATTTGTTTTCTAGAAATGCTTTACCTGCTAATGCCTGTTAAGGCTATAAATTGCCTTTTCTCTCTGGTTTTTATTTTGTTAGCAATCAATCTAATGTTAGAAACATTTTGTCAATATTAGTAATTACTTGCTAGTGATCATATATTACAGTGATTTCCTTCTTACTCAGAAGGTAATGACTTGGTAGCATCAGTTTGTAGAGAATTTTCCAAATATCATCAGCCCAGGGTCTGGCTGTGGTTAGAAAAGGAAAGAATTAAAAGACTTGTTTTTGATGTCCTACAAACATGTCTAATAGACTTTTGTTCTGTCAATTATATAAAAGACTATACAGAGCTGTACTTATATCAAATATGAAAGCATAAAGGAAAAGTAGTATGTAATAAGGCTTGTCCTTCAGTTTCCATTCAGTGCTCTTAATACAAATAGAAATGCCATTATGAAATGGAAAACTGGTTTAGGCCATGGTCATCATATTCATACTTACTTTTGAATGCTAATGACTGCAGATTTCTTTTAACTTTGAAGTTCCTTTTGTTGTTTCTTGTCTGCCTATTAAAACGATAGTATTTGCATATGTTTACATTTATCTTGTTTTGAAGACAGTGGGACCTGTACATGTATAGAAACTATGTAACCTTTTGATCAGCAAGTTGCTTGTCCTTTATTACATTTTTATCAGTGAATTTAAAGATGTAAAGACAAAATACTAGGCAACAGTAGGTAATGAAGAGACATTTATAAGACAAAGGAATTGGGTTCAGTACCTACACCTCCTACTCTTCTTTCATTGGGACTCATAAGATCTTTAACCTTCCATCTGTAAGTATAATTATAAATATAAAATTCTCACATCCACATTTAACACTGTGGACCATGGGCTCAGTCATGGGGGAAGGGGGGGAACTAAATGGAAGTAAATAGGGTATCGTTTCTCTTAATGAACAAATAGGACCTAAGCTGTCATTGTATTACGTGAATGCTTACCTTTCTTACCTTAGGGCATGTCTACATCCTTCAAACTTTCTTCTTTTCAAAGGTAGTATGTGTAATAATAAGCATTGATTCTTAAAATGTAACTGTTTTTTTCTTCTTGTTTTTCCTACTTCTCTCTTCCTGTACAGTGGAGCAGATTACTATGACTATGGCCATGGACTGAGTGAAGAAACATATGACTCTTATGGTGAGTAGCTTTATGAGCTGAATGACTACAGTAATAGACTCCTGAAAAACATAATCAAAGAAGAATTTCCATAGGGCAAGCTTCAGTTCTGCAGTGGATAACAGCTGTTCAGGGATTCCTGCACTGTCACAGAGCTCCTCATGTGGTTATTGAGAAAAATACTGAAGAAGGTTTCTGTGGTCTGTTAGCTAACATAGTCGTGTGAAAAATAAAATCTAAACCATGCTGCAAGTACCCTTTTCATGTCACATTCAAGGAGGTTTAAGCAAAAAAAAAAGGGTGTCCTTTTTCCAGGAGCTGTTTGCAGCTGAAAGCAAATGCTTCTAGTGTGGTACAACTGGCTTTGAAACATGGTACAAGGTAAGAATATGCTGAAGTTCTCAGCTGAATCAGTGCCTAATTGAGTGCGTTTTAGACTTGTATCGTCTTTTTGTATTAGTTCATTTTCACGTATCAGTCTTGTGAAATCAAGCAGGGAGTCATTATGGTAAAGTTTATGAAAGTACTTTAGGTAGCTAATAGACATGAGGGCAGTGGGTTACTCATATGGAGAGAAAACAATGCATAATGAAGCAAAAAATATATGCTTGTGGTAAAGATCACTTTTTTTAAGCTAGAAGTGTGGTAGTGACAGGTTTAATTAAATCTGTTACAGATTAGGAGCATAAAGCATGTTAAAAGGCACCTTTGCTTAAGGGATAAATGTTAAATCTCTGGCTAGAGATCAGAGAAATATAATCTTGATCACTCAAATCTCAAACATTTGAGCATTGTTAGTAACTAGTGTAAAAGAGTTGTGATTCTGGGTAATGGATGCTTCAGTGATTTTTTTTTTTTAGTGCTCTACTTAAAATTTTGTGGTGTATTTCTTGAACTCCATTTGGAAGTGCTTCCTG